GTTTTCAAACAGTCTTTGCATTTTCATTTTCAGGGAGTTTTCTGCTGTTTTCCCATAAGCTGCTGCACCTTTCTTCGCCATGTCAGATCAGTGTTTAAAATAGACATTTGCTTTTTGGTAATAATTGCTTTTTATGGTCTCACAGTATTTATGATTCTGCTAAATATAAAAAACCCTTTCCTGTTTGGTGCTAGGAGCTTTTATCTTCATGTTTCATAAATCTATATTTTTATTATTGACAATCATTTTTAAATCATTTAAATGTATTAATAGTTTAGCATAATGATAATAAATGCATTTAATACACATTTTCTAGAATAACACTTAAACTATACATATTACTAATTATAATAATCTTCATTCCTTAATTATCTAGTGAGGATAATACCGCTAAAACCCAAAATAAGAAATACATTTTATGATTTGTTCAGATGTGTCCTCTCACATCATGGTGCATATTTGCTCTTACATGGATCATGTTTAGTTCATTATTCCAACAACAAAATTTTACGAAAGCCCGTTTTATAGTTTCCTTGGTACAACAGGCTTCTGAATAAACAAACATGGCGTATTATACATCAGACAGCCATGTTGGCTGTAGTTAGACTGGAACTAGTACGGAGCTTATTAACTTTGCCTATCCATTAGGGCAGGCATCCCCAAAGTCAGTCCTGGAGGCCCGCTGTCCTGCAGGTTTTAGAGGTTTCCCTGCTTTAGCACAGCTGGTTATAATGATTGCAGTTGAGCAAAAGCCTGTGAATCAGCTTGTAATTAAAATCAGCTGTGATGGAGCAAGGAAACCTGCAGGACAGCGGCCCTCCAGGACCGACTTTGGGGATGCCTGCATTAGGGGTTCTTATTGGCCTGACTTCTTGAATCATAGTAAAGCCTTTCAGGAGCGTTCCAGTTGAAATATCTTCCTGATTCCTGAATTATTTGGAAAATTAGGCTCCACTGCCATCAGCTGCCTTTATTCTTAGGGCCCAGTCACACCTTGTCTAGTTAGCCAGCGTATGCCTGACGTCCCAGAATCTCCAAAATCTCTGGCATAAGCTTAACTTTCTATGTATTTTTTCAATTTTGGGCGTATACATAGAGTGTTCATAACGAGTCCAGAACTTATGTCCAACGACAGCGTTACGTTCAAAATTGTAGGTTTATGATAAAAAAAGGAAACTGAGTCCACACAGAATTGGGTTCTTTTGCTCCTCCAAGAGGAGAGAGTCACGTTCAGCTACATCTGCCCTCTCTCCTCCCTCTGTCTCCTCAGCAGAAGCCTTTTATTAGCAGATCATAACACATGGGTTGGGTTACAGAACAGTGTTCTTCTGACAAGGCAATTGATTTGGTCATAGGACAAAATGCTCCTCTTGATTGAATCACAGCAGGATGCAACCGTGTGACTTTGCCTCATGACCTAATGATTGAATCACAGGATAGCAGGATGCAGGTCACAAAAGTCTACGGCCCTCTTGATTGATTCAGAGCACACAAATGTAGCATAATTTTAGAATTATAACTCTAACAGACAGCCTAACTTATGCATGACACACATCAACATAAAGCCCATGAAATGATGCACAAGTCAGTGTCCTGAGGGGGGCAGCATTGTGCCCGGAGGCACCGGCCTGCGTAAAACGATGTTTTTGATATTAACCTAGCTGCTGTTAACCGCCAACCCAATAAAAAAAAGAAAGAAAAAGAAAAAGAAAGAAAGAAGGTTTGCAGTCGCAGCAAAATTCAGCGTCATTTCTGCTAGGAAGTTTGTTGGTTGTTGGCGTGAACGCAGGGAGGATCCATCACACTCACCTTCTTGCTCGCCCTATGATGGGGATGCAGTTTGGAGGAGAACTGACAGTGTCCTCTTGTGAACCTCCTTTTATTCAAAAACGCTGCCAATACATAATTATAGAGTAGCTGTACGTTAGAAACATGTTCCGTGGTCGTCTGGAGCACGTCAGATACGTGGATATGTGTTGAAGATTCGTTTTTGATAAGTTATGCACAAGTTACTCATAGGGTTTAACTAGGCCCACGAACATATACATACACCGGCATACCTCGGGATGTAAGTGCTGTATGTGGACATGTGCCTGTGTGTTCCAGCAGCTTTCAGCGTGCTCACAACTTATACAATCTTACCCATAACTTATCCAACGTATTACAGCGTTTTTGCCAGATTTTTCGTACGTCAGGCATACACTGTCTAAATCGTCAAGGTGTGACAGGGGCTTGAGCTTCCAGCTTGTGAAACCAGGTAAATCTTATTGCAGACAGATAGAGCTACACAGAAGACTAAGCCATGATGTCTACGATTATTGCTGCTGTGACATTAAGGATCTCACATACTCAGCAGCACTGATTAAAGTTAGCTCTAGTACATGAAGCCTTTAGAGTATCACTTGCTTTGATCCTGTAGTTTCACTTATAGACCAGGATTTAGAGACTTTTTAGAAGCAAAAATGACCTTCGGGGTTTTTCAACCTAAATTCCATTAAGTAAAAAGCAAGTGAAAACTCCCCCTGTTTTTTAGGTTAATTCTAATCTGAACATTCGTTTTAAAAAACTCGACCAAACTGTGGTTTAGTCAACAGAAGGCAGCAGGTTAGAGATTTCTCTTCCCCGTTTATCCAGTCAGGTCTGTTTTCCGTTAGCTTTTCCACATTAAATCACCAAACTGCTTCTGCATTTCCTTCAGAACTGTTCTAGAACAGTTTCTGCTTTTCTTTCCTTGCAGATGAACTAACTGAGGAAGAAGCAGACTTTATTAGCTGCACTGATCAACTTTCTAACCTTCAGTGATTTCCTCGGTGATGTCAGAGTCGTCAGAGTATGACTGAGCGCTCGCCACCAGCTGCCCCTCAGAAACATGAGACTCTTCCTCATCATCATCAGCATCATCATGGCCGTCTTCTGTTGTACTCTGAGGGGTTCTGGATGCCACCTGCAAGGAAAACCGGGTGAAGTTAGAGAGCAGCTGCTCTGATAAACACCGAGCAGGCAGCCTGGCCTGTTCGTGTGCTTTTTTATTCTTTTTAACAGCAGATCTGTCATTAAAGCTCCACTGTAACTTGATCCAGATAACAGTTTAGTATCAGGGTGAAAAGGAGCTACCTTTTCATGTTCTACTCTTCATTGCTGAAATATTACCTGGACATCAGGGGTGAAGGTTGTGTTCTGTTTCTCTGATAGACTCTCTGCTGGAGCTCCCTCCTTCACCTGGGAAAGAAACAAAAATGTCCTCATGAGGTAAAGGTCTAAAAGAAAAAGCCTGAACTCAGAGTCAGAGGAGGGAGATGGAAGAAACGACCAAATCAGACTGGGAAATAAAATTAAAAAATCCATATAAATATATGTGGAACATCAGAAAAAAAATTACACGAAGATCAAAAACCCATAAATGAATAAAACTAGTTGGTTTGAATATTATTCAGAGTAGAAAAGAACTTCCAAAACCTCCAGTCACTCAATTTATTTTACTGTGTCCATCTTGGCAATAACTGGAGCTCAACTGGAGAACAACAGGCAGACCATGGAAATAAGGCACCATGCTAATATTAATAACTAGCCAGTGTTTTTTTATGGTGTTGTAGGTTTGGTGTTTTTTTTTAACCTTTGAGTTAATCTGCAGGCGTTCCTTTGTTTTCACTTTGCTTTCCCTCTCAGACGTACCGAGAGGAACTTTTATTTTACTGCCGTTGATAGAAGAACTTAACAAAGCGTCCCAAAAAAAGTTAAAAAACATTCCTCACTGGAGAAAAATCGAAATCTAGAAGTCATTTTTTCTTAAAAAAAGTGCATTTGTTCTTGGATTGAGGAGGTAAAAGCATTTTGCCAATGGAACAAGACAATTTACACCTAAAATAAGAAAACACAATGTTATTGTCTTATTTCAAGTGCATATTATCTAATTATCTTATTTTAAGAGTAAAAATACTCATCCCCTTGGCAAACTAACATACTACTCAAATTAAGGGTAAATACACTAATTTTAGCAAATTTTTTTACTTTTTTCTAGATTGTTTTTCCAGTGCTGGACTTTGCTTCCAAGTTTGAAGACGTTTCGCTTCCAGGATGGGAAGCGAAACGTCTTCAAACTTGGAAACAAAGTCCAGTGGATTGTTTTTTAACTTTTTTTGGAATGACTATGACCTGGACGACTCTTCACTTGCATATTAACAAGGAATCATTTCACATTCAGTTCTTCACTCTTGAGAAAACAAGAAATAAAAAACATGAAAGACGATCAATGAACTAAGGAATTAATGCCAAAAAAGGATAAAAGAAATGATCCCATCTTCAGCCTGTTCCATCCATCCTAAATTTAAAATGATTTACTCTCAACAGGCCTGTTAAAGTCTGGTACTTTAAAAGAAAAAACAGGAGCTCTGCAGATTCAAAAGTTATCCAGATCAAATGGGTCATTTTCCCCATAAAGTCAGACTTCTTAATATTCTTAGGAGCATTAAAAAAAGATATAACATCTGAAAACACAGAAGCTAACTCTTATTCTATCAGCTCTAGTTCTGCATTAAGCTCCTTTAGGTGTTCTATGCAAACATTTAGAAAAGGTCGTCAGTTAAGGGGGCCTTAACTAATGACAGAGGATTCGCGCTTAGGACCCCTCCCCTGCTGCCTCCATCCAGAATCATCCGTCTCTCACAGACAGAAAGGAATCTCTTCAGGAAGACGGGCATTTATTTAATGTGTCGTACGTGTAAAATTAGTTCGTCCCGTCTGTGATACCTGAGGAGTAAACCTGTAGCTGCCGAGCTGCTGCGGAACAGGAAAACTGGGATGAAGAAAAGCAAACAGAGGAACCAGAAAATACGGGTGGAGCTCTTTTCTCAGCTGACTATTCACCATCAGCGTCACATTTAATGGATTTCCTAGTTTTTATAGGAATTCTGTCCCATAGTTCTACATGATCAGAGGAAGGATCTAGCCGAACCCAGAGATCGCACCTCATCCTCTGCAGGCGTCACGCCCACAAACGTGACTCTTTTGGCCCCTGCTCCATCCCTGTCCTGAGTCTTCTGTCCTCTGGTTCTGTGCGGCGCCACCTGGTGGTAAGAGATCAGAAGACACTTTCTAGTCTTTTGTAGATGTTGTTCTACTAACAGATGCTGAGGATGAACTTCTGACTTCAGAAGCAGCTGCGGCGTTGAGGTTCTTGAGCTCCTCCTCTTCCTCCTGTAGCTTCTCCTCATCATCTTCCAGATGGTCATCCATCTTTTCCATCTCAGCTTTCCCCTCTTCGAGTTTAGGATCAACCCGCTGACGGGGATGAAGCTGTGACAACAATCCAGACTCCTCAGCTGCCATGTTGACCCCTGGTGAGGGACGGTAGACAAACATCCACCTCAGCATCACCTCTAAGGAGCCAGCAGGTCTCCCCTCAGGATCAGCAAGCTCAAACAGCCCTAAAGGAAAAGGAAGAACAGAGCAACAGCTGGTGACTGAGGTTAGTCTCAGTCAGAACATTCAGGGTGTTTTGGATCAAAGAGGACTTTAGTCTCCAGCTGCCTGATCATCGATCCAATATACTTTGGAGGTTTCCTGATTAGAGATCAATGGATTCAGGTTTTCAGGGGAGGAAGGATTTTCTAAGCTGATATTTCATTTTCCTCCTCCGTTTCCATGATCACAATATCTTACACCAGTACAACAGCTACTTCCTCCCCACAGCCATAACCATCTAGATCAGAGGTCACAGATTAGCGGTCCGGATCTGGACCCGGACCCACCTGCTGGCTAATCCGGACCCAACCTGATTAAAACATTTATAAATTACCGCATGTTGTCCGACGACAGTGTCTTACTTCACTTGCGCCGCTTTTCCTGTTTATATGGTAAAAATTTCCAGAGCACCCGGGACCAGGCTACACATGATACAAATTAGCCAATGAGTGTGGACTGCTGAAAGAAGTGTGGTGAGCTAGTGAAAGAAAAGTGAAATGGTGCTGAAAGATGACCCTGCACATTTAGAGGATGTTTGGCTCAACCTGCTGCTGTGAAGCAGGATTCTCCACCATGAACAGAATAAAAATAAATATGGATCCAGGCTCAAAATGAGCACCTTGATATATAGCTTGAGAATGGCTTAGTCTCCATTCAAACCCAGGTTTAAAGCCTTGCAGGACACTGCCAACATTAAGACAGAAAAAAGAAAAACAAACAGTCAGTTCAGGTGTTTTATAAAATATGTGAGTCAGGAATTTGTCTTTATACCAAACTGATTGTTGTTCTCTACTTCAAAAAACAATTTAGATTTTAAAATGGTAAAATTTTTATTTAAAAATGTTATGTATAACATGGATGCATATTTATTTCAGTGTTAAATTCTGTTTAAAGAAACAGATTATAATTAAAAATGTCTCCGGACCTTTATTGGTTGATCATTTTCTTTATTCAGACCCTGCTGAGTTTTAATTGGTTACCTCTGATCTAGAATGTCTCTAACGCCCTCCAATATATGGAAGTGTTGTTTATCCACCTCTACCTCACCTGAAACCTCCTGACCTCTGGTCAGAGGCAGCAGCGGTACTCTGGCTTTTCCCACATATGTGTCCATCTGCTCCTCCTTGAAGTCGAACACGTAGAACTGAAGCACCTCAGTCTTCAGGTACCGGTCCAGGTCTCCATCCATCAGAATGGGGTAGGATTTCTGGTCACTGAACTCGGGGTGGCAGCAGTCGTCCACAGTGGCCGTGGGATAATCAGGAAAGTCAAAGAACTTGTAGACGATGTAGGGACTGGGCTGCTGGGCGCTCCTGGACCAAAGGTCTCTGCAACGCTGGACAGTGATGAGGAGCTCATTCCTGCTGGTGACGGTCAGCTGCAGAAGGCAGATAATGATAAAAATGGGAAGAAACCTGCTGAGCAGAGAAGAATCTTTAACTAGACAGGAATATTAACCAGGAGGAAAGACCCTTTTCACACTGGATGCATGAATGCGTTTTGCCATAAGCAACGATAATCATGTTGGACCTTGGGGTCCATGGGAAATGCTGGCTGTCTAAAGCCTCCGCTCCGCCCTAGAGACACGTCCACAGAGACACATTTGAAGGGACATAAGGAAGGACACCTAGCCTCCTGGGATAAGCTTTCCTGAACTGAACAGCTAGCCTGGCTAGGTCTTCAAACTACAGATTCCATTAAAATTTTTTGAACTAGAGATTCTTCACCTTTCCAGCAAAACAATTGGGTTTTTTTTTATTTCTTCTGATCTTTTCATGTGTTTACTGTAACTAACCAAGCTAACAAGAAGCTAATGGCAACAATAAGGTGGCCAATCTACATCTGCAGCTCTCTCGGCATAGTCGTCTGAGAAGGACCGCCAGCTCTGATGGCGATTTTTGACTCAGCTCTGGAATCAGTTTTGGACGGATTAGATTTGGGGTTTTGGTTGAAACATGAGCAGGAAGAAGCTCTACGCTCATTCATTTTTAAGAGGGACGTAATCGCCGTTTTACCGACAGGCTGTTTCTTTACACTCCCCCACCAGCTTTCTGTCGCT